GGAAGTACTAGAAGGTCAGTAATTAAATGAACTGGACAGTTATGCCACACCACTGGCTTCTCCTAAAATAACTATTTTTTGCCATAAAAGTGCTGGGAATTCTTGACACTCTGTAGTCAATATTTGGCTAGGCTGGACTGTTACTTGAAGCCTTCCACATGCATACCTCTGGTGATCATCTACTACTAGCTTGCACTGTCGTCATCCATCTCTTCCCAATCATGATGAAAACTCAGGACATCTTAGAAAGTTGCTGAAACCCCAGTCACCGCTTGTTTGCTCATGTCTTGGACAAACATAACTTTGGAGAGAGCAGAACATAGACATAAAGAAAGAAAGCCTGCGATTTCATCTTCCTTTCATCTTAGTCCTTCAGTCAACCTTTTGGATCCCTATTCAACAGAGCTTTTCACTATGCAAAAAAATGCTAATCCTTTTCCGATGCTTTCACACTTGTATAAACCCCCATGCCTTCAACTGAAAAGCAATTATATCAGTTTACCTTTCTGTCAAAAACAGGATTAATATTCTAATAAGAGAATCTCCTTTCTTTTCCTATCTTTTTGCTTTAGGAAACTAGTGGTTATTAGTAGAGACATTCTTTGAACAAGAACACATTACTTTAAATATCATTCTGTTAAGCAATGGGTGGATAAAAGCAGAAGGCAGAGGCAGAAGAAAAGTCCTTCAGTTACTGCAGAAACTCTTTTTTTCTCAGAGACTGACCTTGATTTGCAGATGCCCAAAGAGAATGAGGCTCACTCTGGTCTATTAATCAGAAACAAATTATGAAAGAATGTAGCTGGACTGGTTGACACTATCCAGTCTTGGGAGACTCAGTAACAGCCGAGTAACAATGTCCTCTTCATGGGTAATGAACAGCCATGACAAATGGGGCAGAGAAACTATTTATTTGCATATGCAAATTCCCACACAAGGGAAACATGTACAAACAAGTGTCATTGTAAGGTGGATTAGGCAAACAACGATTTCTTTTTAGGACATTCTGCAGCCCAGAACATTAGTCAGCACAATTAAACCAGTCTCCATGGAGACTAATGAAATTTCACCATGGTATGAGTTAAATTAGATAGCTAGTTATGTGTTTCCACAATCCAACTTGAAATCCATTATTGTTTCAGAACAATATAGCAATTGTGCCTAGCTGATCTTTGCCAGCTCAACAAGCTCCTAAGTTGACAATTTGCATATGTTAATATAATTAAGCACTAATTACATGAAACTTGTACATATTCACATGCACTTTCCCTGGGCGCTTCTCAGTTTGAACCTTGGCCAAGTCTTTAACCCTTAGAATGGTTTTTAGAGGAGGGAAAAAAAAAAAAACACCCAAAAGACAAAAACAGAAAAACCACACTGCCTATGGGGACAGCCCCTAGGCAGACACAGAAAAGCTCTTCATTTATGAATACAAAGCCTAACCTGGCTTCTCATATTTCTAGCCACAATTGCAGAAAATATTTTGTGAGAGTACTAGAAATCCGGGAAAGGAAAATAAAGACAGGCTACCAGTTAGAGTAGTAGTTAAAGGCTCCTAACAAGTGTCTGAAAGAGGAGAGCAATCCCACTCATTTCCAGAAAGTGTTACAAAAGATTCTGTTCTATTGCCACTGTCAAGTCTTGGGAGATAAAAATGGTTTGACAATAGCAAAAATAGCAAGTGGAAAAGGGAAAAGGAGAGAGCAGCAACTAATGAGCTTTACATAAATATATGCAGAGGCAATTAAGCAATGTTAATTACTATAACAGCAGTTAATTGAATATAATTAGATATTTTAAGCCACTAAATAAAGCATAGTTAAGATTAATTTTATTGAGATTAATTGTAAATAAGGATAGATTAACTCTGTGTTTTGACAGGCATAAAAAAGTAGTTCTGTAAATTGGGTAGGAGCATTGCCATCAGTCCAAAAATCCTAGATTATTTTAGTGTCACACCTCAGAATCATCTCCTCAATAAACATGACTTTTCAAACCCAAACACACAGGAATCTTTAAGGAAAACAAACAGCTTGCAGAGATTAAAGAGCCTTTTGTCCTTTTTCATGTGCATTCCTTTTAACAGACTAAATTAAGCGAGTCTGGTGTACGTTTTTTAGGAAGGAACATTTCACACTGAATGGAAAAAATGTTCTATCACATATGAAATTCTTGCAGCTGTGCGGAACTTGGTCCAGATGGTTTAAGACTATAAAACAAGACCAAATGATAGGCAGTAGGCCTTCCGAAGATTACGTGATAAAGTCACAGTCTTTCATTTCCACCCTCCCCCCATTTCTACTTCACATTTTCCAATCAATTGGTATACTTTCTGATATACTTGTGTTTCTCCAAGAAAGTCTCAAGAAGTATTGCTCCTACTAAGTGCCAGAAACTAAATATAAAGAAGAATGGAAAGAGGCCTCATTGAACAGATACCAGCTAAGTCAGTCAGGCAGAAAACTCAGTGATAGCTATGACAAGAATATATGCAAAAGGCACCACTTGATTATTACTGTCAGAAACAATGATTTCTAGAAGTACTTCTTAGGAAAACGTTGCTACATGAAAAATCTCTTCCTTCCAATACTTTCACACCAAGCTAATTCATGCATAGTGTTTTGGAAAATTAACACAGTCCTCAAGAATGCTGAACAAATCACTACTAAGAAAGGAGCATCAATTGATTTTGAAATAAATCAATAGGTGATTAACATAATATTTTTAAAGCAGCAGAACGTATATACCATGCACAAACACATATATGACATTCCCAATACACCACAGCTTTAACTGAAGGAGAGCTTTACACTCCTGACCCTGGCTCTACACTGCCTCACAACTTCTGTAGGGCACCTTTAGTCTTTATAACGAAAAACCTAAAATGGTCTGTGAAACAAGACTACGACAAGCCATTCTGCAGTGAAAGATTTTAAATCATCCAGCCTCTTCTAATAGACTTGAGACTTATTGAGGTAGAAACCATAAAAAATGAAGAAGGGAAATTTAATCCCTGAAATATTGATTTGCACATTAATATCATATAGGCAGAGGGCAATTTGGCTTCGTGGAAATGACACATTGTCGACCCTTGGTGAAGTCAGAGCCAATCTAACTGCTGAACATGTCTGAACCTCAAGAGTTATTAAGGGCTTCCCTTCTTGCCTTTATGACTTTTCTTCAGCCTACCAATGCAATCTTAAATGTATTATCTTTAAGAAATAATTGTAAAACCTCAGGGGTTTTCCAGTTAATGGAAAGGAGGCCAAACCACATCAGATTCTGAAATGCAACATTAAACCCTTGCAATCAACAAAACCACCTCAATTCTCATCCATCCAGTGCAGGATCTAATATTGTTATTAGAGATAATCAGATTTCATTGTGTAAATTTAGGCTCATGGTCAGAATGGAAGCAGTAAATTCTGCAATATTAAACAGCAATTTTCTTAACCTCCTCTCTGTTTCCCCCGCTGCTGCAGCACCTTTGAAATAACCCAACTAGCTCACAATTAATGAACAGAGTTGGGTTACTCTGCCCAAAACTGCCAAAGATTACAATGGAGGCGAACATGGTTGCCTGTTTTTAACTTTAAGTGGCAACTTTCACTTCTCAGAACCAGAGCCACTGTCTCTGCCTCAGCCCACAGTGGGTGTTGCTGCTGTGACTTACACAGCTGGTTTACCTGACCTTTCTTTGTTCCTCGGGTACATTTCACTTTTCAGATTTATGGTGCTACCCTCATATTTCATTGACCCTATCTCCATTGCTATAAAAAAGGAAAACACTCGAATAAGAGTTTACTTTTTAAATACAAGAGCAGCCAGCTATTGAATAAACACACAGCGATGCTCTCCACAGTTTACGCCATAAATATTAAAACCATTAGAAAAACAACTGTATGAACCTTATGATCCCTTCACTGAAGCCAGGTGCCAGAGGTTAAAACAGCTGGCTAGCCATCTTTTATTTGTGTGTGTCTTCCTGCTGCTTGAAACTCCAGCCCTTGAATAATATCAAACATTCCCTTAAGGATTTACTTTTTATTTTCTTTTTCTAAAGATGAGGAAAGAAAATCTTCAATTTCTTTAATATGCTTCTCAGTGGAGAAGAAAAACTCTAAAACACAGTCACAGATGAAGTGAAATAATCCCAAGTATTCCCTTTCTGCTTTATTTAAACCCATCCTTCTCAACAAATCCTATACACACCATTCTTTTTATTCTTCAGTTAGAAAAGAGAAAAGAGCGAGAAGCGAGAAAGAAAGAAAGTCGGAGCTTGCTCTGCCAGTTTGGTCAGTAAATATAAAGTAAAGCAAGTGTGGAGGGCAGCGAGAGTGCTACATACCCGGGCTGTGTTTTTGCATTGCTCTCAATGGAAGCGATCGATGCCCATGTCACTGTCGTCCCAATCGCAGCCAAGTCTCAGCCTTAATCTAAGCACCAAACGAAAAGGCAGCGGCAGCCGCAGCCTCTCCCTGATTCTTCCATCCATCCACCCAACTAAAAATATAATACTACATATGAGCTTTAACCACTCCACGTTTATAGGGATCAAGCCACTGAAAATCCAGGAGAACACAATAAAAAAAAAAAAAAAGAAAGAAAGAAAAAAAAACCTCCTGTCTCTTGTCTCTCCTCTCCCTCTCTCTCTTCCTCTCTCCTCTCTCTCCCCCCGTGTCTCTCTCTCTGTCTCTCCTTTTGCCATCTACATGATCCTTGATTAAACATGGAACAGAGTTAATAAAAGGGGGGGGGTCAAGGGGAGGAAATGCGACTGTCAGAAATCGGGAACGCCAGATTTCCTGGTGAACCTGCCTCTGAGTCGGTGTCAATCCACCATCTTCAGCCACTGAACTTGTCTTTGGGTTTTTGTTTGGTTGGGGGGGGGGGTGTTGTTTGGGTGTGCTTTTTGGGGGAGGGGGAGAGCGAAGACAAGGTGGGGGCTGGAGGTGGGGGGAGTGGGGCGAATGTGTGTCTGTGAGTGTTGACTCGTGTGTGTGTGTGTGTGTGTGTGCAGGGGTCGGAGTGTGTGTGCGTGTTGGGGGGGGGGGTGTCCGTGTTTGTGATCTGAACCTTTGGTACCTACAAGGAGGGTGTCTCACCGAACGGTAGCTAAAACCTCACCAGGACCGCACGGAACTGTGGAGACACAGCCGAAGGCGCCGCTGGAGCTTCATATCTGGGCCAGACCCCAGACCCAGCGTTGCAAGGATCCCCCCGCCCGGATCACAGGTAACAAAAGAAATACAAACCAGTGCATCGTCTTCTGGGGGAGGGGGCTGGATGGGGAACCTTCTGCAACTTGACCATCGCTGAGGAACTTTTATACAATTCCACGAGAAATTTTATTATTATTATTATTATTATTATTATTTTTCTGATAGTAAAGAGTAGAAAGAATGGAAAGGGAGGAAGGCAGAAGGGGGGGTGTGGAAGAAAAAAAAAAAAAGACAAGACCCGCCGAATTCCAGCCCCTGCTCGCTCGCCTAGCTTCTCCAGCCAGAAGGCGCGCATGGTACCGGCTGAAGCTAGGAAGGTGAAGTTCATTTGCAGACATGGAACCCTGGAGCGGGGTATGGGGGGGGGGCAAGGAATGAATCAGTTCCCATAGTCGACCACAGCCCCCTTACACTT